CAACACTGGCTTGATCAAGCTGTCTCCGGCCTTATGGCGGCCGTAGCGACGGATAAGTAAGTCTCGTCATTATTCTTTTCATATTTTTTTATTACATGACACTACTGCGCTTTATAAAAAGTTCTTAGCTTTATACAACGTGTTATTCGCTTGGTGTTTACAGCTTTTTAGACTAAGCCTTACTCCTTAGAACTTCTTCGTTCTATGGCATTGGAGTTGTTTACGTTCGACAAATAAAATCCATAGGCACCATTCTAGCCACCTTACACACAAAGAAATGATTTGGAGAAATATTTCTCCAGAATTGATGACTACTACGATAAATTTCTCTCTCTCCTTTTTTCTTCCAATGGCATCGATTTTTTTTAATTTAAGATTAGATGTAAATAACCAAGTGTTATAGTAAAGGATAAAAGCATGCTGATCTTTACCATCTCTACCATCTTTGCGAAGTCCATTCATTTCCAGCTGTGGTTCAGAATGCTGCTTAAAACATAATTTATGGAAGTCCACATATTCTTTGCTATATCTTCAAATCATAGCCTAATATCAAACTTATATCGAAATTTATTAGCAGCGATTTCAAATTTTGATTTTCATGAATAAGACTGTAGCACCGGCGCGTGTGGCGCAGTGCTCGGAGGCGCCCTGCGACACACACATGGGATCGATCACCGCACCTACGGGTCACCACCAAACCTTCCATCTTTTTGGGAGTTGACGAATTGGTAACAGTCTTGCCTGGCAGGATGTCAGCACTGGCTCGATACATCCGTAGGCCACCGGAAGTCGTGGCAAAGGCCAGATATGCGTTCACTCACCTCCAACGATGCTTAATGAAGTTGAATGTATGACGCATCCATCAGAGATTGATCAGCACTGAAAGCTTTGGAGCTTAAGACAATAACATACTCAACATTTACAAATTCCTAAAGGATGTATTCTATTACTTGCTTAGCGTCGTAGAGTGGTTTAAAAGCGCTGTTGACCTATCCAATGAAGCTGCTTAACAAGCCACTGTTTTTATTCTTCAAATACGTCCAGTGTCACCTTGTCTACTCTGGAGATATGGAATTCTTGCTTAGCACGGGGCAGGTGGTCAAAGCACTGCGCTCTGTGTTTTGCAGAGCACCTCAAGCAACGGTGTTGAACGCGTCTGTCAAGACATAATGTTACATCTATTTCGAAGTTTCTTTCAGCAATTTCGAGCTTGGGTTTCGAAGAAACGCAAGGAAAGCCATTGTAGAGCACAGTTGAATGCTTATATTGAAATTTCTAAAACAACGCCGTTGCTTCATGGCAACAGTTTATAGGTCTTGTTAATTTCTCTTTTTAATTGCAATGGAACTTCAACGAGTTCTTTTAGTTTTGCCAAATTAAAACAGCCTTGATACTCCGTTTGAGGACTACTCGTTGTTAGTAGCTAAGTATTGGAAAGTATTGAGGGCTAACTGTGGAACACTAAACGTTGAATACTGAAGAAAACTGTTATCTTATGCTGTGGGGTTGCCAAATCATTCGATTTAACACTGGGCACTTTGTATAAAGTGTGTAGATACAATAAATGTAATGATATTATGGGGATAAACTGTTTTGGAATCGCGATATAGCCAAAATGAAAGGAAAAAGGCGAAAATTTTTCCAAATATAGGCCACTTTTTTGTAATATACTCCTTTTTTTTCTTGTACTAAACACCTAACTAGAGCAGCAAACTATAAATTGTACGACTTATAAATGGAATAGCTGGAACAAGCACAGGATTTTAAGTACGGCATGAGATACTACAAAATTCTACCCAGCTACTAGCGAATAGTGTTCATACTCTCTCTATTCAGAATGATCAAACCTGAGTTTGCGGGCAGCTCTGATGAAAACTGAGTAGCTATTGCAATGTCGCCATTTAATTTACAGCCTTTTCTTCTTCATTCTTCTTCATTGCTGGGTGTGTTGTTAAATAGAACTATAGAGATGATCAGATATGAGCACAACTCAGTCGGTAAAGGTAATCGCGGGAATAAAGCTCAGCTGAAGCTACGAGTTTTGTTTACAACTCAACATCCCTATATGATGGATAGTTGGCAATTTCAGGATGTCGAAAGTCTCTGAGGACCAAAGAGCCGCACATCAAACGTGCGCTAAAGGCGCCAAGACGGTTCAACAGCACGCCAAGTGCGTGGTTGTACTATTAGACCTCGAAGAAAAATATCAACGATGGAATGCAAAATTCGGAAACACGAAGCGAATTGGTGAGACTATGTTTGTAATTGTATCATCTCAAGTGCCCTCTTAATGAATAAGGTGCACTCTTGCTTTTTGCAGAATGCCCGTGAGAGTTTATCACTGCCTTATAATACGGGGTCAAAACTTAGAAGGGAAAGTCATGTAGTGTTCAGACATCTATTAGGAAACGCCAAGACATTGGTAGAGTTGCTGACATTTTTTACCTGTTTTGTAATCATTCGCTTTTTTCGAGCAATAGCTTTAAATTACAGTTTAAAAAAAATAAACGATTCATAGCGACATGTTTTTCTCATTCATACCATTATTGTTAAGATACGAGGCTTTCACGGAAGACAGATGGAAATGTGCCAACTCATGTGCGAAAGAAGCTGTTGCAGAAAGGGCTAGTGGCAGAACCTGTTCAGGAGAAGCCTTCGCAAAAAGGAAAGGCGGCGAAGCGTCCTGAAAAGAAACCGTGGCAGAAAGTAAAAAACGTGCTCGGAACGGAAGAACGTGTTCAAAGAAAACCTTGGGCGAACGGAAAAATGGCAGAAACTGTACAAAAAAGGCAGTGGAAGGGAAAGCTTGAAGAACGTTTTAAAAAGAAACCATGGCAGAAAGGAAAAATAAGAGAAGAAAGGCAGAGGAAACCGTTGAAAAAGTCTTCGATGGTACTCGCAGTTAAAAAACTGCTCCAAAAAACTCGAAGGCTTCCCGTATGGTATATCACTGATCGGAATATAACTAAGAAGTATGGACCGATGAAGGTAAGCAAGAGGTGCAAAACATTATTAATAAACTGAAAACAAACAGTGCTAATGTTTTCTAAAAGCAGTGGCTTATAGCAAGCTAAGACGTTTGTGAAGGTACTTTTAGAAAATATGGTTCTTAACTCGCTAATTCATATGATAAAAATGATGGCTTATCGAAAGTGAAAGTAGCGCCGAAAAATCGCTACACAAGATAAATTCAGACCTTCGCAAACTTGGGAAGCTCTTAAACGTTCGGCATAATGGTTAAGGGTGAGCATCGTATTCAGTAATGGAGAACCCAGAAAGCTATCAAATCATGGACTTTCTGTAGCCAACATTTTATGGTCGTTTACTTCTAATAGATTATCCGAGTACAACTTTCGACAAAACCCTTCTTACGTCGAGTAAGGCAAGTGAGCATAGTTTTCCAGGATTTCACTGTGCGACAGTGAAGGTAGTTAGCATTAGTTTCTATCTCCCAGATTATGAATACCCTCTGTGTGCAATAATACCTTACAATTCCACATCTACCGTAGTCGATCATTCGACGCTCTTTAGGAATAGTGATATTCCTCTGTTTTTACCCTGTCTTTTTTAACTCTTTCACAAAATTGCTCTGACATACTATTCAGTTATTATGATTTTAGAACAGAATGGTATAGCAATTGTGGTGGAAGAAAATGTGATGCCAAAAAGTATCAAAATTGATAACAAATTATTTTGCGTCTGGAGTTTGGTTGTTTGCCGGAATGACTGAAATCTACGCTTGCGCATATTTGGCGACATTTTGAAGACACCCATAAGCTTTGTCACCGCTGGTGGCGATAATAGAATTTTCATCCTACTGTTAATTAGGAAAGGTAGAAAATTTTTTGTCTACTAGTGGTATCAACAATGTGTTAGTGGAGAAAAGCTTGGTTTTTGAAATTAAACGAAGTTTTTGCCATTGTTTTTCCACTTACCTTTTCTGATGGCAGCCGTCCTCTACCCTATCCCACGTGAAAAGATACCTCAAACTGGCGAAGAGTTCTTGTATCAGTGTTATTTGAGAGGTTATTGTACAATGAGAAGCATCATTAACACTCGAAACGTTTTTCTAAAATTCGACTTGGAGTCGTTTTTCTGTGTTTTTAGAACACAGAGATTGTGAAAGTCGAACACTTCCCCGATGACAACGGCTGGATAGGCTCCTTCAGATTGCGAGCAAAGCGATCCACAAAGGTTGAAGCACCGTTGGCGATTAAACCGATACAACAGAGTGAATACACTCTTTTACAAGGTGGGTTCACTTACTCGCACCAATGAACAACTTCTCTATAACAAGATAAACACTCATTTTCGGAACCTAGAGAAGACACTGTGGCTCGGTTCCAACAGAATAACTGAAATCTTGCTAAAAGTGACCGAGATTATTTAGAACGAGAAATGTCGCCTTTCGCTTTAGTCGCCAAGAACTTGATCAGAACAGTTCGAACTCTAAAGAACAAAAGCAAGGATTACGATAGGTATGTTAGTCTTGAACCTACAAAATAATAAACTTTAAGGAAAAAAAGAAACAAAAGTTTTGAGTGGGTGAACAAGGGGTCAAATACCTGGGTGGTTCCAGGAAACGTGTTATTTTCTTCAAAAGAATTGCGACGTCAATTCACTTAAAACTCCAGAGTTTTTAGATACCTTTTATTATTACAATCTCTGGTTTTTTAAACATGTAATTGTAACTAATAAAATATAATGTAGATGGTTGAGATAAAGGAGTAAATAAGCAGAAAGCCGCTGAAGAATCTATTACTACTTTATACAGCTGGCAAAAAGTGATTGCTGACATCCGGACTGAAGCAAGGAAATTCAAGAAAAAGCAGAAAGCTACGAGGTTATTCGAGGAGCGGTTTGATCTATTCAGGAGGATGTTACGTGACGAAGGCGCTGACCACAGAATGATGAAGGCAAGGGAATTCATTACCATCTTGCGGTGAAATTGTAAATCCGAAAACTGCGTGCGTCATTTTAAACACTGTATGTTTCAGAAAATGGATGTGCTTGGAGAAGACGAAGAAGATAATATGGAAATGATGATTAAGGCGAAAGAACAAGAGAAAAAACTGACCGATGAGGAAAAAATGATGCAAGCTCCAGTGAAGCTCATACGACAAGGTATGCTGCTCCATAATACTAAAACCGGTTTCCTTCTATGCGCTCTATTTTAATCATAACTGAGGGTTGAACGAGCAGATTTCGCTAAGCACGCAGAAAACGGTGAGAGGGGAAACACTGACTACGCTTTAGACTCTAGGAAAGCTGTACCGCACACTCGCAACGATTTTTGTTCTTATGGTTACTCTTTCTAGCACTACTTACAATGATTTGCCCACGTTTTACTTTACTTTCTTTGTTTGTGAGATTTATAGACATAATCGAGAGCTTATAACACATTCTCGAATCTCGGAACCCTGTCGCAGCACAAGGTGATCTTGACCAGCTGCGATATTCACCGGAGGTTTTCCTCGCGTCGTGGTTTCCTAGGATTCAACCTTTTCAAAAACTATGATTTCCATCTGGGGTCACACTATTGTTTTCTAAATCTTCAACCGAACATAAAATTTTATTTTCCAGTTAACAAAAACACCTCTTTGTTGACGAAAGGAATGTTTGTAACTATGGTCCTTTCTTAAAGTAGGTGTCGTAACTTCGAACCTGAAGTCAAGGCTCGTTCCTGCAACACCTGGACCGATCTAGAGCGTATCGCTTGTGCAAGCTATGCGCAACGCAACTGAAGAGATTCTGTAACCAATGCACTTCTTGAATTCATTTTTTAGAAGAAAGCAATACCGTTTAAGGCTAGAGTCTCATCTTTTTTAAATTCTTATTTACTGCCTGTTACAATTTTTTCACGTCAAGTTGTTACGTGTGATACAACCACAATCAAGCTGAGATGTTTGCAAAACTCCGAACCGCTGGTGTCTGCGGTGGGGAGCGAACGGGCTGTTACCCTTTCCGGGTCTTAACGCTCTTACCACCGTATCACGCAGGTCCTTCGTTTCGCCCATCTCGATTTGAGCTCCACAGATCAGTCCCGTTGACGGGTGATTGCTGAAAGCAGTGCTCGATAGAACTAGTTAAGAGACAGGCAAAACGAAGTGCCCGCGTGATGTGGTGGTAAACGCTTTAGCCCCGGAAAGAGTTTGTTCCCCATCGCAGACACCCTTCGCAAATAACTCAGCTTCACTGTGGTTGTATCTCATCTTTTTGTCAAGCGTAAGGTACAGGTCGTCTGCTGAGGCTGCACTCATGCTAGGACGCGCCATCTTTGTATTTATAAAACATAATGCTCCCCAGTGGCGCGTGTGGTGCAGTGATTGGAGGCGCCACTGCAACGCACACATGGAATCGATCCCCGAGCCCATTGCCCACTAAGCATTCCATCCCTCCGGGTTGAGCAAATTCGTACCAGACTTGTCTGGGAGGATAGCAGCACTGGCACGATACATCGGTAGGCCACCGTGAGTCATTGTAAAGGCCAGATATGTATTCAATCACCTCCAAACGATACTCAGTCAAGTCACACGCATGGCGCGTCCTCAGGGATTGATCAACGCTGAGAGCTTTTAGGGCTATTAATTCTCCTCCTACAGTTATGCTCTTCAATAAATCACATAGTCGGCTCAGGTCTATTTTCACTTGGTGATAGAATTAATACTGTGTGAAGTGATTTTACAACAACACGTATTTACAGGTCTGAAGCTGGCAATGATGCTCTCTGGACAGAATGTGACCGATTTCGATAAGAAGAATGTCAAGATGATTTCTCCTCGTCTATTGTCGCTCGTTCCTGATGAAATCGACGAAGAAACAGTACTCACATTCTTAACCTTTTTATTTACTGCCTATTCTTTTTAATGGCAGGGTATGTTGCGAAATATAACTCGTATGAAATGCTGAGATATTTGCAAAACTCCGGACCGCAGGTGTATGCGGTGGCGAACGAATGCGCTATTGTCCTTTCCGGGGAGTAGCGCACTTCACCATCACACCATCCGGGTCCTTCGTTTCGCGTGTCTCTCACCTAGTTCTATCGATCACTTGCCATCAGTAAACACCCTTCAGCCGGAGTTTTGCAAATATCTCAGCATTACACAAGTACTCACACTATTGTTTTACTTCATCTCTTTCATAATTTCTTATTCAATCTTTTCGATTCCAACTATTCCCATTCAATAGATATACTAGCATTTTCTTTCTTAAATTATGAAAAGACTACTCAAAGTAGTCAAGGCTAAGCGTGCTAGGAGGCATGACTCTCTCTGACGGTGTGCGCTCGTTATTAGAATTGGGACCGAGTTCCTCACCATCTGAACCCATTTCTAAGGGAACCTTGCGTAGGGTCACATGTTTTTTTACATGAACTTCAATATAGACTTCGCAAAAAAGCTAGGAATGAGGCGCAAAATAGGCGCGAACAGCAAAAAGTAGGGGCAATACCAGTACCGCCATTTCCTCAACCGTTCTTTAGACAACAGGAGCCCATTAATGAAGTCGATGTTAAATTTCGGATGTTTCCGAATGAAATTTTCAAAGTCGTTAATCACTATCGCGCTAAAAGATACTGCTCCAACCTCACTGAAATACAAAAGCGTGGTATGCGGGAGGTACGAGAGCTGATAAGATCAAAAAACATAAGAGTATTGGTTAGTGATAAGGGTGGAGAGTTCGTCGTAATTCCCCATCAGCTAGATGTTGAAATAACGGAAAAGCACTTTGAAGATGCTTCCCTTTATCGTCCGTCGTCTGAGAAGGAATTTAAAAGTCAATACCGAAAGTTAAACAACGAATGGGTTAAAGTGGCAAGAGCGGTTGGGCTAAAACCACCAGTTATCGCTAATCTAAAAATTGACTTGCCAACATGTCCCGTCCTGTACTTACTTATCAAAACCCATAAGTTAGTAACCAGCGATGATCTCGTGTCTACCGATCCATCGTTATTTAAGGCTAGACCTATCATTAGCTGCGTAGACGGGCCAACAGATAGAATAACGTGGTTAATAACCCTAATACTTACTCAGTTGTTGAAGTACATTCCAGATCATCTAACGAACACCCAAATGTTCCTGGATCGTCTACGTAACGTGCGACCCAACAGTGCGTACGTGTTGGAGTCCTTCGACGTCACTGCCCTCTATACGAACGCGTCGAATGTCTCCGCTATGCAAGCCATAAACGAGCTCCTTATACAACACGAAGGAGCAATAAACATGTGCGGCTTCTCGTTTCAGCAGTTGATGACACTCTTAAAGGAGTGCCTAAACTGTTCAATCTTCAGATTGTCCGGGAGGTATTACGCACAAATGAGGGCTGGCAATGGGACAGCGACTGGCACGAAGCCTTGCCATTGCATTCACGTCTAAGGTGGAAGCGCCAGTAATCGACCTCGGTCCGTTACTCTACTGTAGATATATAGATGACTGCTTGGTCATTTGTTCAACGCAAGAAGAAATTTACAGATGCTTCGAGTTGTTGAACGAACAATCAGAGAAATTCACCCGAGAGAAACCAAAAGAAAACTGGCTTCCATTTCTAAACGTACAAATTAGCTTATCAGAAAACGGCTACATTACGAAGTGGTATCGAAAGCCAAGTAGTAAAAACATCTTGGTTCATTACCCCTCCTCTCATCCCTCTCACTTGTGAGAAACATGTTTCGAACAGCTACCAGCGTGTGCACAGGAAGACAGTAGAGAGAGGAGTCCCGGAACTTGGCGCGGCTAATAGCCATTTTTAATGGCTACGAAACTGTAGCTCGAGATTGGTGTAGAGGAAACCACAGGTACCCCAACGATAACTCTAGCGACAATAAGATCCCGTTTATACTGCATTTCATTTCAATTGAAGTAAGTGCAGCTATAAAACGCTGTTTAAGAAGGCCCGGTCTAGAAAATTCGGTAACGATAATTGAAATGCCACCGAATAATCTAAGACGCCAGCTAGCTCGTAACCGCCTATACGACCGTCAATGTGCAACGCAAAATTGCATAGTTTGCCACAATGGTGGAGACGGTGATTACATGAGTTCGAGTACATTCTATCTGATCTCTTGTAAAGCGTGCGGGGACGAATACGTTGGCGAAACGGGTAGACCACTCTGCATACATATAAAAGAACACCTAGTCGGCAAACGTAAACGAAATACTCCACTAGGCACGCATAGGACCCAGAGGCATAACGGAGAGGACTTTAAAGTACGTGTCACGATCCTCGCGCAAGAATCGACAACACGAGCGCGTAAAACTCTAGAGGCATTCTGGATTAATTCCAGAAATCCGAAAATGAGCCGCATGGAAGAATGCCTCATTATCACGCGTGATATTGAGCAGTATATAAGCGTGTTATTTTGATGAGATGGGCACAATACGATTCCGTGTGAACTCTGTGCGGTTGGTCTCCACGTGACGTATTTAGTGGAAGACTCATAGAAAACGGTGAGCGTGCAAAGACTCTGTGTTCAATGTAATTGAAATTTTGGCTCAGGATTTTCTCTGTTTGGTTATGGAGATGTTTGGCCCTGTAGATTGTAGTCAGCTTGACCTTTTCAGGCTCTGAGGAAGGCGGAATCCGCCGAAACGTTAGCTTGCACGTAAATAAAGAAATGAAGTAACACCTCGTGTTTGCTGAACAGAAGTAGAAAGAATTATTCAATTAATGCCGAGGTTAATAGAAAGTCAGACTTGGGAGTTACTACTCAAAGTGCTACCAAATTTCATTCAAGCTCCATTTGCTCGAGAGCCTTTCCATATATCAAAAACAAAATTTGATATATTCCAATAAAAAGTGCTTTAACGGAATTCAGATTAACTTGCTCTCACCATCGTTGTTCTCACTTCACGATCAAGGGCGAGGCGTTGAAGATAGACTGAGTTTGTCCAAAGCCATGAAATATTTCGACGAACATGGTCATCACGAATGGCTTAATTTCGTTGTCGAAGCGTCTGGAGTTAGTGATGCGCTGAAAAAGATTCAGGTACGTGAAATCTAAGGGTGCCTTATGTTTTCAAATAACAGCAACATGTAAGAATTACATAATACTTTCACTTAATCTATTTTTTTTTCGCGGTTTAAGTATTTCTTAGGGCCTTTTGTTCACAAATTTCACTGATGAACATCAATACATTACAAGGATGCTTTAAAGAAATTTCTAACACTCTAACGACCCTCAGTTTTTGCCCGTTCACTGTATGGATCACAAGTGACTCATTGCGGCCGAAGTGTTCCAGAACGACATCAAGTATCCCCCTTGTTAGCAACTTTCTGTTTTAATCAATGGGCACAAATGACGACGATTTTTTGCTGAAGTCGCGTTGCTTCATTTGTGATGCTGAAACACCTTGGCATAACAATGTGTAGTATTTTAGCCAGCAGCAGAGAATCTTACTCCACATAGCCTAGTAATATGAGCAAACCCATTAGACAAGTTATTCTGCAGATAACAATGCCTAAAAATCAACATTTTTCGGAATGGTGCAATATACGAGTTAGGAAAGTTATCGAATGGATGCAAAAGCATTTGTATAACAATAGAAATGGCCCGAAGTAGATTGGGTCGAACATGTTGCATAACTGATCAATTTAAAGTAGTTATTACAACCTAACAAACAAGCATGGCTAGCATTTTTTCTGCTGTCTTTTGTCGTTATCTACCCTTTCGGTATCGAAAACCAGTTCTGAAAGTTTGCACTAATACGTCAACGAATGGTCGTAAGATTTGCAGGCTATATTCATATAGCGTTGGGATAAAAAGTGTCCAAACTCATTTTGAGGCAAATAAATGGCTAAAAATATTCTACTATTACTAAAGGAGATGAATGCTGTCGAACCGAGTCGAAGAATGGATGAGCAGTTCCGAGGCGATAATGGGCAACCGCTCTATTTTACTAAGGAGAACGTAACAGAAATGTTCGGTCAGACAGAACGCAGAAAGATTGAGGTTTTCGAGCAATTACAAAAATCATTGACACCACAACAGGTATGTTCTCAATAACAACAGCATGACAGTTAGTGTTGATCGCATGGATAGAAAAAATGGACGGATCTTTCTAAGTGCATAGTTTTAGTAGCTGAATACATCGATACAAAAGTGTGCTCTCTAATGCACTGAAATCTTATTTGTAAAGGTATAAGGATAAATAATAAAGGGTAAAGCTCTCGGCGTCGATCAATCTCTGGAAGACGCGCCATGAATTCAACTTCACTAGGCATCGTTTGAGGGTGACTGAATGCACATCTGGCCTTTGCAATGATTCGCGGTGGCCTATCGATGTATCGTGTCAGTGCTGCTGTCCTCCCAGACAAGTCTGGTACCAGTTTGCCGATCCCGGAGGGATGGAAGGTTTGGTAGGCCATGGGCTCGGGGATCGACTCCATGTGTGTGTTGCACTGGGCCTCCGACTACTGCGCCATATCCGCTCAAGATATAATCTGACGAATGCTTCATTTCTCTATTTATAAACATGGTAGTTTCTGTAACTTAGATTTAAATTTATTGTTTAAACTTCAGCCAACAAGAAAAGATAGGCAAATGAAGTGAAAAAATGTTGTAATAATTGTCTGGTTGCTTTTGTATATACAGGTTTACAAAAAATATTCATATAATAATTAATTATAATAATCAATCAATTGCTCTGCTTCTACATTTTTCTGACGTCGGTCATTTTTATATTCTCTACTTTCATATCCAAGCTAGCTTTAACCTCGTGTTCGAATGAATTAGTAGACTGACTGATCGAAGAAATTGATGCCAAAATAAGGTTTTTATCAAACCTACATTATGGTGAAGACTTGAAAGCGCCCCAGCAAGGTTAAATCAGGACTACAGGAGGGATCAAACTTTCCAACGAGCAATAAATAGGCCAGCTTCAGTACCCTACGCACTGAATGCTTATACCAAGGCGGTAAGACGACCGGAAAGAGGCCACAAAATTTCAAGTTACGCAATACGTCACTGGAACTGGATCTGGTGAACACACACAGCACTCGTCACGGAGAATTATTCGTGCTCAGAACGTATAATAGCGGGTCAATCTCTTCAGACACCGATGTACTCGCTTCTCCTAAAGAAACGGACCGCAACAAATTCTACGTGATCGCCCAAAAAGAAACAAGAAGCGGAAAGACAGACATACGCCGATTAAACAACAGGACCCTTGTTATCTGCAAACGAAGAGTCCTGTCACGAAATGACGGCGGCCTATAATGCCTTGTTCACCTTGTCGGCTCGTGCGAGATCCTCTCCACTCGCATAACACCCACCTTATTCAAGAATCGCGTCGTAAGAACATTGCTATCATAAATTGCTACTCACCTACAGATCAGCTGATGTGTACGAATTAGATGCATTTTACCATATGTTGGAGAAATTTTTTGCAGTTGCAAATTTGTTGTCAGAGACATCAATGCTAAAGAATAACCAACATAAGCGAATATAAGATCGGAAATTTTGTATTTAGAGAAAGAAATGAGAATGGGGACCATCTCGCAAAACTCCTGACTATAGCACGCTCTCCTGTGGACACTCTTTTTACCTGAAGAAAGAATGCCGTCGCAGGAGGGTATTGTGATGGAACAATTCATCATGCAGAAATCGACCATATATTGGCAAAGAGAAGATGGCGTCTACTTTACGCAACGGTAGTCCCATCAGACCGTATTGAACTCGATCATCGCCTTCTTCGCGCGGAGATTCGATTGGTCCATAAGCTTGCAGAAAATTCATGTCATTGACCAAGAAGAAATAGTCAATCTGTATAAAACGGAAGCCTTTTGAACGAAATCCGATCCAAACGGTGACTGATAGATTAAAGAAGACCCGACAGACTGCGAACCGCTTGGCGAGTGACTAAAGAATTGTGCCAATTTCTGCTTAATTCCGCAAGAAATAAGATCGGATCACGTCTCTATTACCATTGAGCACGTGCTCGACGTGAGAGGAAAATTGAAGCTGGGTCGTGTTGCAACACGTTTAAGACGGCTAGTAATAAACGGCAGTTGTAGAAGAGATTTAATAAAACATCATCGTCTGAACGAGCAGAAGAAACTCTTAAAAACAGTAAAAAAGGAAGCACCCCTTAAAAAATGCCATCGGTGCTTTTGTAGTATAATGTCTTGCCGTCAGCGCCCATTAACACTATCACTACATCCCGTCACAGTGAAATTGATAACGGAAAGGTTTTGTGCCAAAATTTTCCGTTACACAATCTTCGTGCCTGATCTCAGAATTCCCGCTGCAGTAACCTCAATTCTTCCAGTCTGGATTCCATAATATCACCTCCGACTTTATTAGAGCTGGAAGAGACAATTTACATGGACTCCTCTCAAGCCATATGCCGTTCATACCAATGACATTGGAAGAGTTACTAGCAGTCAAGCAAGCCGGATTTTCCTATATAATGCTGAGATATAACTCGTATGAAATGCTGAGATATTTGCAAAACTCCGGACCACAGGTGTATGCGGTGAGGAGCGAACAAGCCGGATTTTCTTCTTCTAGGATTGCATTCAAACCGTGCCCAGGGTCACCGACCGTTTGAAAGCGTTGAAACGAAATCAGGCCCTTCAGCGGTCATCGATTAAGGAATGGACCTATCTTACATAAGAACTCTATCTGACTGTTATCAGAAGCGCAGTGGAAATATGCAGCTTCTTGATCGACACCTCACTGTTACCATAGAAAAGGGTTCAATAAAGAAACACCACATCGTCGGAGCCATTTAGTGTCGCACTGCAGTGGATAATGAAGTCACTTGACCAGGAGGAAAAAACCATACATATTGATTAGAAATTACTAACAAACGTTTGTTTCACCTGAGAAATCGGCATATTTTCAAGAGATAGCGACGATGTAAGTACGATGATCAGTGACCTTAAAGGAGAGGAAAAAAAATCGAACTGCGTATAAATCTGAAGAAAACGCAATTCATAAAAAACTTAGGGTGCGATGGAAAGCAGATCGTGCTGGATGGATCCCTGATTATACAGATCGCCCTGCACATATACCTTGAGTGTTTATAGAACATGGAAAACAACATAAAGAAGAAATTAGGGAAAAGAAGAAGAGCACTATGGACCGAATTTTGAAGGAACCACTGAATAACTAACGGTCGTAAAAAACAGCGCTCTCTTTTTCGATTCAATAGTCCTCAAGCGATCTCTTATGCAGTAGAGACGTGGGGTGGTACTTCAGTGACGTCAAGAATACTAGGCAGAATTCTCGTCACCCACACCTATTTGGAATGTTGAGCTCTGGTCTTCTAAATCTATCTTATCTTGGAGACCTAGAAAAATATACATCAATACAATAATGTAAAGTTGCCGGTCATATTGTTAGTAACTGAAGTCAATCAAATGTGCTCGCAGCTGTTGATGTTTTGCAGATGGCGGAGGGGACTCGTGAACCCGTCATGTTTGAATCAAGCCACCACCATGAGCGATGATTGCAAAGCAAAGAAACGCATGGAAATTCTGCTAAACATCTTGTTGTTCGAATCTGCATGATTAATGTCTCCTTTATTGGGTTCCGTAGTGCATCAGAGCCCTGTCGGCTCTGCTCGTTCAAAGCATGCAAAGAACATCGCACGTTTTATACGAGGTTTTTCTATCGTTTATTTTTTAGTAGAATGTAGTCACGAACAGCTCAGATAGCATAGGCTTATTTTCAGTTGAACTTTGCAACTGAAAATATTAAGCTCTTCAACTTCCATGACCCTGGCTGGTGTGAAGAACTATGCGCTATATACATGATTTCGGAGCTCGTCAGCATCGTTATCTTCTTTTGCAGCTTAGACGATTACCTGGAATATGTTTTGTTCTCAGCACTTCTTTACTGCTCACAAGGTTTATTTCGTTAACATTTAACATTTCGAGTTCCTTCTTGCATTTCCGTATTAAAGGAAGAATCTGTGATTCAAAGGAGAATGAGCATCTCAATGACCTTTGGCGAATGGTTGCCATCCGGTGAATGTCTGCGAAAATGAGATTCATTATACGATAAGCAAATGTGCCAAAATATTGTTTAAGTTTTCCATTCTCTTTATCACACCATAACTGGTCTGTCTTAGATGTTAGAGATGAACACAACCGGCTACGCAGTGATGGACGCCGAGCAGTTGGAGCTGATCTATGGCGTAAATTCGCCGTATGGTAACTCATCCACTCACGAAAGATTAAAAAATTTCTCCAGTCACGAGGTTCCAGGCATAATTCATCACGTTATTCGTGGTTTATCAGACGAAACATTAGCATTCCGAGCGCATCGCGAGCGCGATATTGTCTTAGCACCGCTCATGCTTACATCGGTAATTAATAATCCAGGATTAGTTTCTCAGCCTCTGGTCTTGTCACCGTTGCTTCTAGTTCCCGTCATTTTATCTCCAGCAATTTTCGGTGCTGTTATTCTTTCTCCATGGGTTTTTGTTCCTGTGATCGTATCACCTCGCCTCATGTCTCCTGTTGTTCTCTCGCCTGTTGTCCTGTCACCAATCATTCTCTCTCCTTTGGCTTTGGATCCACTTATTCTTTCGCCGGGAGCTTTGCTACCATTCATACTCTCACCCAGCGTTCTTTCACCATTTATTCTGTCGCCAGTTGCTCTTACACCACTTATTCTTAGTCCTTTCTGTCTCACTCCGTTCATTGGCATCGCTAACGTGCTGTCTCCACTGATTTTATCACCATTCGTCCTCTCACCTATTATACTGTCTCCAGTGGCCTTATCTGCTTTCGTCCTTTCTCCGTACGCTTTGTCACCAATTATTTCTTCTCCCGGTGTTTTCTTCTCAACAATCCTTTCTCCTACATGGCTCAGCTGATACGGTTTGTTTTCGTGCTTCACTATTAGGAAGACTACAAATTAAATGTCATTGAATTTTTTATATATCACCATAAGCACATTTTTCTTTCTTGCTCGGAGTCTGACATTTCTGTCGTATATGAAGGTTCACCGGTGATGCCATTTAAGGTATTAAAACTAAAATGAAAGGCTACGTATATTTTGTGTCTTCTTTATAAATAGAGCAGAAAAATAATGCAATAATGAGGTGGACTGCTGACATGAACTTCTGGTTGTCGCCTTAATTTAAACAAATCGTATCACTGTCTTTTGGATATATGACCGAATTACTTCTGGACTTCTTACATTGCCTTTAAAAAAAATTACAGGGATCACTGAAATCATGAAAGAATTCTGCTCGCAAACGGGCAGAGCTTCCTCTGTTCCATAACTTCTGGAGGCTATTGTAGTGAATGCTTGGAAACGCTTTAGCGAGGATGCCTAGGTATTTCTAAAAAAAATCACATTCGACTAGTATTCAGCGTGTCATTGAAGATGAAAACATCGTCTTCAAACTGCAAATTAACTGCTATCGAATGAGTTGAATGAAAAGGGTATAGATGAGCTAAGTAGTCGGCATCACGGGTGTGTTTGCATGAGGGTCTCGTGAGCTGTGGTTCCTTATGTTAAAGAAGCAAATTGATTAAACTCGCAGTTTTGGTGAGCAAGTTCTAGTTTTGCCGCCTAAGAATTTTGAGTGGTCAGCCAAATCTCCGACATTCGGTTGTCTGGGCTTAACTGATAAAATTATTTAAAAACTTAACCTTTCCTATTAAAAATAAATAACGTGGAACAAAGCGACGTTATTTAAATTTTATATGACGATTCGGTGCAAGAACATTTCTCTGTCTTTCAGACGTCCTCTATGAGAGCTGCATGTTAGATTGACCGGTCATTAATAACTGATTCGTATTTTTCAATTCTAACGTTTTGATTTTTACAAATATGAAGTCTTACTTTTATGTGAAAATACTATAAACATATTTAAGTGCCGTTTTTATTTTCATTCTTATACACATTTGTATGCAACAACAATGAAAGGTGCGGATACCAGTGTTAAAACTAGGAAGTAATACCTTAAAATAGCTAAAGACGGGCGTTTAAGGAGGATCTTCTTCCATAGGTGACGAGGTCTAAAGTGATCCAAAAAAGGTGAATTTAACCAAACTGAAAAGGGAAAGAAACTCAAGAAATAGGTGTAACATGAATCGAAAAGTGTTATTGGGTGATTATCGCTCATCGGTGAACGAATCTTTAATCGTTACGAAGTTATCACGACACAGATTTAAAGGAGACAGGCCTAGGTAAAACAGCTGAAAACTATTCACATAAAGTGCCAAGTGCTATGTTATGGTTTTCCCTCATTTGACGTATTGGCGCTTTCGCCTTCTTCGGAGCCTGGAAGAGTCAAATCGACAGGAATCCACTCAGTCAAGCACTATCATAACGTGAGCAGATATAATCTAATACATAAATGTTTATTCATATCACGAATAGCTTTTTTCAAACACTCACCGTTTTAACGTATTATTTACTGCCTATTCTTTTTAACGGCAGAGTATACATTGTGAAATATAACTTCATTGATGCTGAGATATTTCCAAAACTCCGAACCGCAGGTGTATGTGGTGGTGAACGAACACGCGCTGTTGTCCTTACCGGGGACCATCGAACTTCACCACCACACCATCCGGGTCCTTCGTTTTGCCTGTCTCTCAGCTAGTTCTATCGATCTTTTGCCATCAGCAATCACCCGTCAACGGGATTGATCTGGGAGCCCAAATCGGCGACGAACCCAGTTAAGCTGAGGCCACAGTTATAATCACAATTTCAAACTAGATAGATAGAACTAGCTGAGAGACTGGCCAAACGAAGGACCCGGATGATGTGGTGGTGAAGTGCTCTGCTCCCCGGTAAGGACAACAGCGCGTGTTCGTTTCCCACCACATACACCTGCGGTTCGGAGTTTTGGAAATATCTCAGCATCATTGAAGTTATAACTCACCGTTTTGTTGTGTTTAAAGCGTCCAACTATTATTGGAAACCATCCGCACCGAGTCTTAAATAAACGTTTGTTTTTAATGTCATAAATGAGGAACATGCCCACGTCAGGTCCAAGAATCAGCCTGAGATTTTGCGCGAGTTCACACGTGATCGCAAGGCGCTCCCCTTTGGGGTTCGTTTCTGGATTTCTAGAGTTTATCCAGAATAATTTTTGGGCAAGGGTAGTGGTTTTTGCTTCAAAATCTTCTCCATTACGTCCGTGGGTTCTGTGCGTGCCTAGTAAGTATTTTCTTTATCTTCATGCTTACCGTCTAGGCATTCTTTCGTGCGGACGCGAAGCCGTCAATCCTATTCGCTCCCACATACTTTAGAGGAAATCAAGTACGCCGTAGCAGAACTCACGCAATCACCGTCTCCTCCATTAGAGCAAATTATGCAGTTGGGCGTTTCGCATAGCCGGTCGTACAAACGGTTTCAAACTAACTGTCGTCTTAGAGTGTTCGCTGCTATTTCAATCACAGCTACCGAATTCTCTAAACCATTACTTTGTAAGCAATGTTTTATTACTGTAGTTATTTGTCTTAACTTATATCGAGTAGCTATCGTTTCGTAGCCATTGCAAATGGCTAATTTTTGCACTAACCCCAAGGATTTCTCTATCTGCTCTTTTCTGTGGACATACTGGTACCTGAACAAAACAAGCTTCTCACAAATGCCCTTTCAGTGTGTGAAGTCTGATTGGAGAGCTTTTCTCTGAATCTTTAAAAGAATGCTCAATTTTTACTTTTAATATAACAAAACCTGCCTTTGACTGATGGAAAAAGTAATGTTTGTAACTACGGCTATTAAATTAGGTAACTTCGTACCTCATTCCAAGGTTCCCGTTTACAACAAGACCAATCTGGAAAGCATCGCTTGTGTAAGATTTCCATAACACAATTGAAAAGATTCTATAACAAACTATTCTCGTAGTGCATCGTTCTTCTGAAAGGCAGCAATACCCTTTGAAGCAACAGCACCAGCGGTCTACCAGAGAGCACCTGCCAAGTACTGAATTACTCCAACTACTCTACGTCTCTCTTCGATGCATGCAAAACTACATACACGCTCAACTGAGGGACTGGGAGCTAAAGGAATCCTACTGTAGGCTCAGGTTTAGGAGGATCAGGAACACCTTTGGAAGAGAACAATTTTTTTCGAAGAAAACGAAACCGCAGGAAACGTCAACTAGAATTGTATTGAATAAACATTAATCTTGCTCGTACAGGAAACAGTGTATTATTGATCATTGCCAAAGGTAAAAGAAGGTCGGTCCAGGGATTTGCTATATAGTTTGGAATAAAAAGGAAAAGGAACGTGAAAGTAGTGCGTAGCTCCCCACTAACCTAGTACACAAGCGCATTCGCTACTTTATTTACTCTAAGATTTTCGAAGTGCACTTGTACAAATTTTCAAATCCCCACTTATTCCATAGTCATTTAAGATGTCTCGAGAGTAGCTATTCAGTCTCGTCTCTGAAGAAATATCGGTTCTAGAAACTTCCTACTCGTTAAACGTGCTCGCCCCATAAGTCCTTCTTTCCTGTTTTGTTTGTTGGTGGAACACTATCACTTCCTCTAAGAGGAACACTGTATTGAGGTAACTTCGTAGTCTCATACCACACAGTATTCCGCGCCTAATAATCCATACAGATTGTCCGGATATCCTGACACAGGTCTCACTTTTCTAAAATGCCATTATTCTTTGGTTTGTTTCTAAATTAACGACCTGGTAATTGAAGTCAGTTGCCAGGAACGACTTTATGCATCTGGAATACCTACAGTTAAAGAAAAAAAAACCACTGACGCGTAATAATCCATTTTGATAGAAACAATGTCAAAATGCGTTCATAAAGAGGGCTCATAATTGTCTTTTTTCACACGGTCGGCCTTTGCTTTTTCTGAACAATACGCTGTCCGAAGCTGCTCGCATTAACTTTTTGACTACCGTTCATCCAATGTGCGGATCCTAGCAGTTCTCGCATCGGATTCTTTTCTTAGCATCCGCCAACCATGACGGGCTTGGAGCATTTCATGTGTGGGCTCGGCCGCTGCTTGAGGATTGTCATCTTTATGAATGTCAATGGATGATGTTGAAGCAGACTGTACATGGAACTTTGAGACATTCGAATTATAGCGTCTCCAATTCTATTGCAAAGAGTGAGCTGTTCCCGGATTTGTCTAATACAAATTTTCCAACTCCAGATAGAGGAAGGAATTGGTGAGCCCAGTACGGGGTCGAACCATCACCGTACACCTATTCATCGGCATCACTGCAACTGTGCCCTGCTTCTGGTTGGCATACATTGAGGTTTAAGTGGCCGAAAATCGAGACGAAGAACAGAATTTCTGCAAGACGATTTATCTAGAAGACTTTGCATACGAAGTACTATATTGGCATAATCTTTCGTACACAAATGTCTTTATATTTATATTTGTACAAGAAATATATAAACAGATATACAATGTAATATATATATATATATATATATATATATATACAACGTAGTATTGCAAGAATCATAACAATGGATTTTGTACGAGTTCTTAACGCAAAAACCTTAGAGAAAAACTTCTAACATGGTGAAAATGCTAGAGAAGGCAAGTTTCCTATGAATACGTTCTAGTATTAGTAATGGAATTTAGCTAGTGGAGCAGTCTCAACGCGGTTTTTCGATCATGACGGACGAACAAAAAGAGCTGATATACGGTCACAACTCACCTTACAACTCTTCTGAGACGCTGAAGCGCTTGCAATTTGTCAACAACTCCAACGGTCAAGCTCTAATCGAGAAAGAAATTCGCATAATTGCAGAGGTATGTCCTACATCGAAACCACAAACGAAGAAGTTTAGTGCCCAAACCGCTAGTGATTGGTCATCTGCGTCTAGAAGTCCACTTTTTCGAAATTGCTGAGTGAGCTACAGCGTGAGGCTTGTATAGTGCTGACTACCAGTGAACGTCCAGTATAGCATAATTTCAGAGTATCATGTCACCACCGCAGCCTATATGGGAGGTTGGACATGTTTACAAGTTGATTTTACTTTTTACAGTGCCAGTATACTCATAAACTAGTTCATAGAGTTCACTACGTTCATAAACTAGTTCATAGAGCTCACTACGTGAAATTCTTCGTATTTTTGTTGAGCAAACGCGAGGTGTTATTATTCTTTATTCACGAATAAGCTGACGTTTCGGCGGATTTCGCCTTCTTCAGAGCCTGGAAAGGTCAAGTTGACAGCAATCTATTCGGCCAAACACCGTAAGGAAGAATGCATCATTATCACGCGTGATATAGGGCAGTGTATAAGACTGTTATTCTGATGGGAGGAGCACATTATGCTTCCATGTGATTTCTGTGCAGTTGGTCCTCACGCGGCATACCTAGTGGAAACCTCATAGAACGCGGTGAGTGTGCAAAGTTGTGTTCAGTGTGATTGAAATCTTGGTTTAGAGTTTCTTTGTTTGGTTATGGAGGCGTCTGGCCGAGTAGATTGCAATCAACTTAACCTTTCCAGGCTCTGAGGAAGGCGAAATCCGCCGAAACGTTAGCTTATTCGTGAATAAAGAATAATAACACCTCGCGTTTGCTCAACAAAAATACGAAGAATTACTTGATCAATGCCGAGGTTAATAGAAAGTCGGTCGTGGGAGTTTCTACGTGAAATCTTATTGCACTTTCGAATTTCATATCGTACATGCGAAATTTTGATGTGGCGTGAGCTTGAACAAGGTTTCAGTGACCATTTATTTGGAAAGATCATTAGAACCACAACATTATTACATTGTACGCACTTAAGGTGAAAAACTGGAAGCTGCGTCAGCGCGATGTCGTCGCCAGTCCCATGGTTCTAACATCAGGTCTGATAGCATCCTATCCACTTCTTAACCAGGCTGTCATACTATCGCCACTCGTGCTTGCACCAGTAATTCTGACGCCTGCTGTGCTCGGGCCAGTCATGCTGGGACCATGGGTAGGAGTCTTGTCAGAAGATTCACAATACAAAAGTTCATTGCTTACAGAAGAATGATTTTCAGTTGTTTTTTCAGGTTTTTGTACCTATTATTCTTGCTCCTCGTTTACTCTGTCCACTGTCGATAAATCCGTTCATTTTTTCGCCAATCATACTTTCTCCGCTTGTACTTCACCCGCTCGTCCTCTCTCCCGGAATTTTTAATCCAACTATCCTTTCACCGCTGGTCCTTTCACCATTCGTTCTTTCACCGCAGGTAAGCTTAGAAATTTGCAATGGTTACATTCTATCGTATTAACCGTTAGTAATGGTAATCGATCACTTTCAGCACTTTTACATAGAGCCGTGCATTATAAGTGTTGGGGAGATTATTCGCACTATGCATTTAGTTTGTAAGAAATAGAGTGCTCCAGTACATTCATGTTGTGTGGAGTATCTCCTATGTCTTGTTGCTTTTTAATGACCATTCCGGCACTTTACGCCATGCACCATTTATTGCCCTCAGTGGTAGTGACGCCGTTCATCAGGGATCATCAAAGCCCAAAACTAACTTTTTGTTAACCTCGACATTGATTGATAATTCGATGTTTTTCTTCAATAAGCAGACACGACGTTGTTATTACAGAACTGCTTCTTCAGAACCTGAAAAGGTCAAATTGAAATGCGATCTACCCAGCCAAACACTTTAATAACCCTAGCAAATAAAACCTAACAAATAAATTTGCATTCGCATAAGAAACACCTTTATTTTAATACTTACCATTTATTTGTTGCAAGTATTTAAGTTAGTTGGTGGATAGCAGCCGCACAGAGTAATAGATGGGCGGTGACTGTGCTTGCGTTGGGTCAATGGATCACTCTGAGGTATGGCGCTAGGTCATGCATGATGACAAGACACTCCTCCTTGCGGTTCACTTTTTTTCACTTTTTTTTTTGCGGTTCCTACGGATAGAATTGCTTGGTTTATAAATCTTATCCTCACCCAGTTGCTTAAGCACATACCAGCCCATCTCACGAACACCCAAATGTTTCTAGATCGTCTGAGTAACGCACGCCCGAAAAGGGCGTACGTTATGGAGTCGTTCGACGTTACCGCCTTTTACACTATCGTGTCGAATGGCTCCGCAATACCAGTCACCCGCGAGCTTCTTGAGCAAGGTGAAGGAGCAATTAACATGTATGGCTTTTCTATTCAGCAGCTTATGGTCCTCTTAAAGGTCTGTTTAAACTGCTCGATCTTCGATGGTCCGGGAAATATTACGCGCAAATTAGAGGGTTCGCAATGGGACAGCGACTGGCACCAACCCTTGCTGCTGCCTATATGTTTAAAGTCGAAGGGCCAGTAATCGATCTCAGGCCATTACTCTACTGTAGGCATATAGATGATTGCTTTGTCATTTGCTCCACACAAGAGAAGATGGACAAATGTTTTGAAGTACTGAAATGATTGAGCACTCTGAGTGCACTAAATTTACCCGGAAGAAACCGGAAAAAAAATTGCTTCCATTTCTTAAAGTTCAAATTAACCTATCCAAAAACGGCTACATCACAAAATGGTATCGAAAGCCAAGCAGTAAGAATATAGTGGTTCATTACCTCTCCTCTCATCCCTCACACACTAAAAGGCCGCTTATAAGAAAAATGTTTCGAACTGCTGCCAGCATGTGCACAGGTAGATCAGAGGGAAGAGATCAGAGGGAAGAGATCAGAGGGAAGAATCCTCGAAACTGGCGCGCCAAATAGCCATTTCAAATGGTTACGAAACTGTAGCTTCTCGGCATAGGCATAGAGGAAAAACCACGCCCCAGAGCGATAATTCTAGTGAAAATAAAGCTCCATTGCTCTTGTCCTTTATTTCAAACGAAATAAATGCAGCTATAAAACGTAGCTTAATAAGGGCCGGCCTAGAGAACACTGTAAGATTGATAGAAATACCATGGGGCACTCTAAGACGCCAGCTAGTTCGCAACCGCCTATATGACCGTCTATGTATTACGAAAAACTGCATAATTTGCCCAAATGGTAGAGACGGTGATTGCATGAGTTCGGGTACAGTCTATTTGATCTCTTGTACAGCGCGCGGAAACGAATTCGTTGGTGGAAAGGATAGACCGCTCTGCGTCCGCATAAAAGAACATCTAGTCGATAAATCTAAATTAAAACCAAACATTTCGAAACCGACCTTCCCTAAACCTCGGTGTGACAAATCAATATGTATTCTTTCTTGATAAGCTTGCACGAGGTTGATAAACATATTTATTTTCGGCTAACGTTTCGACGTCTTCGTCTTCCTCAGAACCGGTGATCCGAGTCGATGGTCCATGCTTGTTGTTGTTCGCCTCGACGTTGCCTCTTCGCCTTCCTGTCGAGCCAGATCTTCCTCAGCGAGCCATCTTCTCGAATGAGGCATCCTCACTCAGTGATGCCCTTTTAGTGATGCTAGCTGATGACACACCGACCTCTGCACGATGTGCGCAATGATGTATGTCCGGAAGAAATACAAGTTGTTACCACCGGACATTGTCATTATATATCTACCATCAGCATCGTGTATAAAAGAGCATCACTGAGTGAGGATGCCTCATTCGAGAAGATGGCTCGCTGAGGAAGATCTGGCTCGACAGGAAGGCGAAGACGCAACGTCGAGGGGAACAACAACAAGCATGGACCATCGACTCGGATCACCGGCTCTGAGGAAGACGAAGACGTCGAAACGTTAGCCGAAAATAAATATATTTATCAACCTTATCAAGAAAGAATACATATAAAACCAAACACTCCACTAGGCGCGCATAGGATGCAAGAACACAACGGAAATGATTTTGAGGTAGGAGTCGCTATCCTTACGCAGGAATCGAAAACATCAGCGCGTAAAACTCTTGAAGCGTTTTGGATCAATGCCAAAAATTCAAAAATGAACCGCAAGGAGGAGTGTCTTGTCATCACGCGTGACCTGGCGCCATACCTCAGGCTGATCCAATGAACTGACACAGACACAGTTATCGCCCATGTATTACTCTGTGCGGCTGTTATCCATCAACTAACTTAAATACTTACAACAAATAAACGATAGGTGTTTGAATGAAGCTGTTTCTTATGCGAATGCAAATCGATTTGTCAAGTTTTATCTGCTGGGGTTATGAAAGTGTTTGGCTGGGTAGATCGCATCTCAATTTGACCTTTCCAGGCTGTGAAGAAGGCGAAACCGCCGAAACGTCAGCTATTGTATTCTAATAAATTCTATAATAACAACTTCGTGCCTGCTTATTGTAGAAAACATCGGTTCATCAGGCCGTCCATATGGAGTCGGTAATTTGCTGCTTATCTAGGATCAGCTCACTCCTTGCAATCTACGTGGGGACTCTGCGGCAGTAAAAAACGGTTTATTTGTCAACAGTGTAATAAATAAACCGTTTACCTGTACTTCTGATTAAATTAAACAATTATTACAGGATGGAGAACAACATCCCCACGAAATCGACTGTAAAGAAATATCTTATCTATTCCCACGATCGACTTTCAGTTAACCTCCGCAGTGCTCAAATTATTCTCTGCATTCTTGTTGAGCAAACACGAAACGTTTCATTCTTTACTCAAGAACAAACTGACGTTCCAGCGGATTTCGCTTTCCTCAGTGCCTAGAAAGGTCAAATTGACCGCAATCTACTCATTGATCAAATAATTCTTTGCTGAACTGACCAAATAATTCTTCGCATTTTTACTGAGGTATGGAGGAGCTCTTTATAATGGTGTTTGGCTGGGTGAATTGCGGTCAACTTGACCTTTCTAGGTTCTGAGGACGGAGAAATCCACTGAAACGTCAGCTTGTTCTTGAATAACAAATAAAACAACACCCCGCGTTTGTTCAGCAAGAATATAAAGACCTATCTTATCCATTTTTGTCTCATTTGCAAACTCGGAAAAAAATTCGCTGTGCTTTTTTGGCATAGGACAAACCTGCGTGCTAGCTGAATAAACGACAAGGCAGTCTGCTGTCCATTACAGACAAGCTATGGTCTCTAACCGTTACTACTACAATAATTCTGGCGAACAATTGAATGCGTAGTGTGTAATACATCTTTTTAACACTTATTTTTTAAATAGCTGAGAGACGTGCGAAACAAAGGACCGGCATGGTGTGGTGGTGAACGCGTTACTCCCCGGAAAGGATAATAGCGCGTTCGTTCCCCACCATAGACACCTGCGGTCCAGAGTTTTGCAAATATCTCAGCAACATTGTGGTTGTATTTCACTTATTTTTTACTTATTAATGAGATTTTGCAGATATTGGATTTATTTAACAGGTGTTTACGCCGTTGATTCTCTCACCACTGCTGTTGAATCCAATTGTTCTGACGCCAAGTCTTGGCACTCCGCTCGTCTTATCTCCATTCCTTCTTTCTCCGCTTGTACTTTCACCACAATGGCTTTTCGGAGTTATTTTTTCGCCTTATGGTCTCTCTCCAGTTCTTGCGTCTGAGCTGAACAACGCTACCATAATCGGTTCACCTAGTTGGCTTAGTTAGAATGCTTGAGTGTTTGTTGAAGCATTAGACACAGTATGCTAGTAGATCACTTTATACTCCGTTCCAAGATCTCAGTTTATTCAGGAGTAAGAGTTCTTTCATCTCAATGTTGATATTGTTTTTTGCTATCCTGCTAGTAATTCATGCAATTCTTTTAGAATTGCTTAGGAGCTGAAACATATTCGAACACTTGAAATCTCTGTTTTGAAACTTTACTCAACAATATCTCAGGCGGCTTCAAATCTCTTCTCTTAGCTTTGAAATTTTACTCAGGAAATTTTCCAGGTTACATTATATCTCTCTGGTTTTAAACGTCATTCAAAAAATACCTCAGTTTGCACTTCCTTCCTAGTCCATTTTCCAAGGTGTAGTTTCTATAAAAAATTATTCGTTATCGATCGATAGTTATTTTTATATCAGAATGTGCAAGGAATGTCTATTAATCTGATCGTAATAATAATACCGACTCTGGTGGTTTCTTTCATAAAAATNATATCTCTCTGGTTTTAAACGTCATTCAAAAAATACCTCAGTTTGCACTTCCTTCCTAGTCCATTTTCCAAGGTGTAGCTTCTATAAAAAATTATTCGTTATCGATCGATAGTTATTTTTATATCAGAATGTGCAAGGAATGTCTATTAATCTGATCGTAATAATAATACCGACTCTGGTGGTTTCTTTCATAAAAATATAGTGTATGTAGTGAACTAGCTCTGTGGAATACAATAGT